GTCCCGTGACTCAAGATATCCACCAGCCCCACCTGAAATTTAATTCATAAATTCAATTCACCCCGCACAGGTGATCACCGCTCATTGGAAAAGAAATGGAGAAACCTGATTTGATCAAAGAGCAGCAGCGCGATCTTGCGCGAAAATATAAGCTTCATGGACCGAAGATCGAGGGAATATGGCGTTCCCTGGGCAAGGCACAACGGGAGAAGGTCATGAGAGCCGGTGCTGCCGAAGGACAGATGTTGAAGTCCCCTACCGATAGATCTTTAGGCGATATTTACAAGTTCATCCCCGATTGGAATTTACGAGATATCGCCGATCCGGATTCAGACTATTTATTGGATTGCCTGAAACATCGCGCGACGAAGTCCTTGTGTGAACAGTACATCGAAGGTGTCAACGGTGGCCCTGGTGACGCGGCGGTCATATTGAGGAGCATGCAGGTTCATGGTCTTAAACATGTTGAGCCCTTTCGCTATAGCTTTACGTTGTTCATGGACGAAGAACGATATGGTCAATCTTTTACAGTCTCTGACCGGGAGAAGTATAAAGAAACAATGGCTATGATGAAAGTTGGGGTGGATGCTGGATTGATTGTTCCTCAGTCGACGGGTGAACTTATCTTGGACAGACAGTCTATTCTATTCACGTCCATGAATATCGTGATCCAGGACATTCTTGAAGCGGGTTCCACCGTTGAGGCCAAAGGACGCTCCAAAAAGTCAGAGAAGGCGGCTCGTGAGGCTATGTCCAAGCTTACAATAGACCAGAAGCCAGGAAAGCTTTCCTTGGAAGACCTGGCTGCTCTTTCTCTTGACCAGAAGTCAGCTCTGGAGGACTATGTACTTCTATGTCGGACTGAGCCCGAATTCCTTGCTCACGCTGTTAATGCTTGGTTTTTCAGTCGACCCGAGCTGGTCGCAGATGAGAGAGGCCGAAGATTGCCCTTGATCACAGACAAATATATTAACATCGCATTTTTCGAGATGATCCACAATGCCGTGGTGGGTGCTGCAGTCTGGGGGTATATCCATCAACTGCTCCAAGCTCTTCTAACAGGACCAAACGGCCGGACTTACAAAAGTTCCTTTCTCCAGGAGCTTGCAAACGTCTGTCATTTCGAGTACCAACGAGTTCAGCGACTTTTCAAGCGCTTCATCCAAATGGGGTCTGGCGATAAACATTTCAAGCGCGTCTCTGGTGTATATGATAGTGGCACCGCGCGGGTAACGATGAAAACCAAGCCGGACACACTTACCAGGACCGATCCGCAACTCAATTATATACTTCGCCTTTGCCAAACCGACACGAATGCCTCCCGGGCAGTCGAATGGGTTAGAAAGTTAGACGACCTCCATCAAACACATCCCGCCGAGCAAGATAAGATGGCGGAGAGCGAATTTGACGCTTTCGGCGATCTTGCTGTGACAACCAATTTCGTCCAGTGTCTCTCGACGTCTCTTCCCATGCCGCCGATGAACCCAAAGAAGGGGCAAACTTATATTTCTCGACTAAAGGAACTGGGGTCCGAGCTTGACCCGCTAAAGTCCGAGGTTGACTTGTCGGCATTTGCAGTGCCCATCGATAATCTTATGGAGCCGGGAATGGCCCAAGGCGCGCTGACCACACTTGATGAATTCATTTCCAACAAAGCAGGGGCAGATATTGGCTTCCTCTATCAGGATCTAAACGAAGAATGTTTATCAAACCTGCAGAACCAAGCTCAACAGCAGAAGGAGAAGAACGGGCAGATAGCACAGGCTGAGCTTGCTTCGTCAATTCCTGAAGTGCCCAACCGGGCAATCCAAATTGAACAGCGCAAGGAGAAGACCAAAACACGCCCGCCGCATTCATCCGTGTACAGTATCGCTCCAACAGCAGCTCCCGCAACGGAACCAGAACCTGCAGCGCCACCCCAAGCATTCAAAGTAAAGCCATCCTCCTTAGAGGTATTCTCGACCCTATTCTCCAACCCGAGACCACGGAGCTCAATCACCTGGGCTGCGTTCCAAGCAGCTATGGCGCACATGAAATTCTCTGTTGTGCCAAAGACTGGGTCGATCTATACCTTTTCTCCACCTGAAGGCTTCACTGTGCAAAAGCCTATCACGCTCCACCGACCGCATCAGTCCCGTATCGAAGGTTGGAGACTTCTTTACTTTGCGAGTCGCCTGAAGAGGAAATATGGATGGGATGAGAAGTCATTCGAGACGGAATGAGGTACCTAGCTATGACCTGCTCTTTGTGGTGAACTCGGTCGTCACCAGAAGATGAGGAGTTATAGTTCGGATACGCCACGTCTAAATTCTAGATAGTCTACCCAGATCAGGGTAGTATTTAACTCTGAATACCTTTGCAACATAAATGCGAAACGTCATTCCACGCAATGGATGATACCTATCGACACATCTGGACTTGCATAATTTAGGAGCGCCAAACACCCACCACAACCTTTCAGTGCGTGACCAGGTAACATTCACCTATCTTGAGCACGACTCTCGATTCTTCAAATACATTACCGTCTTCGGCATCTCGCCCCATTGGCAAATGCCTATTGATATACAAAACACGCGAAGAAGCATGATGTAGTAACAATGGTTGAATTATCTACTATTATCCATATGTCCAATACCAGCCTAGACTATGTCCACATGCAATGATGACCTCAAGTCACCGAGCACCTAAATCACAGAACGCACCAGCCTATTTGAGTTCCTTAACCCAGAGAGTAACCTTGGGGACAGTGGCGCCCTCTCCAAGGAAGTAGATCTGGTGCTTGTCCTCGGAAAGACCGAAGTTGTTCAGGCCGTTGAAGGTGAGGTAGCCGTCGTCGGTGATGCCCCAGCCATTGAGCACAGCGCCGTCGGGTGTGGCACCAGAGTGAGGGATGGTCAAGCCAAGAGGCTCAGACTTGCCTGCGATGGCATAGAGGCTCTGCCAGGAATTGGGGTTCACGGCTTTTTGTTGGGTGAAGGTGATGGTTTTGCCGTCTTCGCTTTTGACTGTTTATTGTTAGTTTGGTTCGTGTAGTCTTATATTGGGTGCGTGGGACATACGGCGGAGGATCTCTAGTGTGCTGGCCTGGGAAGCGTCCACGATCGCGTTGGCTGTTGAGGTTAGTCACGATTCTACTGAAGGGTTGAGGTAAGGGGTACATACTGTTGTCAGTGAGGACGGTGTTGCCGCCGTCAGCGACAAGAGTGAAAGACTTGGGGAGAGTGGCTGCGAGGGCAGCGGTGATGAAGGTGGAAGCGGCGGCGAGAGTGAACTTCATGGTGACGGTTTGCGAGTGGTTTGTTTGTGTTGTGGGTTGATGTCTTGATTGATGGGTTGAGCTTGTGGTTGATGATTTTCCTCGCACCCGGGGGGGTTCGCAGGTTTTTATATTCAAAAACAAATAAATGTCGCAATGAGATGCTCGGATGCTGTTTACGAGCTCGTGAGGCTGTAGCGTGGCGCTATTGGGGAGGATATTGGTGCATCAATCCCTGATGCAATCGCTTTGGCGGATGGTGTGGAGAATGTCTCACATCGTTATTCTTAGAGTCGGATCTCGGATAACTACTGCGTTTCTATTAGCCGAATGTTGCATGGTACTCGCATAAATAAGCTAATCTTAGGGTACAATGTTGCGAACTTGAGTTGGGCTAGTGGAAGTCCAATGTCTTGTAGAAGGAACAATCACAGCCCCGTTGGATCTAAGATGATATCAACTCTTCCCTCACATTACTTCCGGAGTATGCTGGAGACCCTTGGACTCTGGAGCAGCCCCATGTCGGTTAGAAAGTTACGCGATGATCGGCACGGCTTTTCCTCATTCTAAGCTTCCCCATCTCACTAGTCAATGAGCTAGTCTCACAACCCCGATGATTTGCCCCACAGACGTCTCACGGAGAAGGTAACTCCCGCCTCATCGCCACAAAACCCAGGTGGCTAATTTAGTACCAATTCGACGGTGTATGATCAATTTCGGTCGTGATTGAGTAGCCGACTGTATAATCACCATGATATAATCCATCACGCCATTGCCTCCGTCAAGATCCAAGGAATCGCTCAGGGAAAGGGTATTGCTGATAATACGACTCAAAAACGCGATCTAAGACCCAAATTTAGGGGATAGATCGGCGTCTTCGTTGGAACTATTGACTGCGATCACCTCCTTTGCTCAGCACTTTCGAACATTCGGAACTCCGCGTTAGAAGCTTCTGCGAAGGTTTTGAGAAAACCGTTGAAAATCAGGTGATATTTATTGCCCTGTTAAACATGTGCGGTTATTTATCATCCCAACGCGTTCTTTTCTGGAAGAGCAGTTTAAATGGGGCGTGGGTCGTTTGGCGCTATACATAAAGTAACCAAGAGCTCAAAGTGCTCAATTTTGTCCATAACATTTTCCTTGGTATTCAAGAAGAGCCACTTTTGTGTGGCTCAATACCATAGTCCCTAGGAAAGGAGATATTGACATGCTGGTGTCCCATTATTGTTTCGGATGCTGCAAGTGCTCCCGACTACGATCTGGGTGGCTGTTAGTGTTGGGACCACATGTACCTATCTACAGGCACTACTGAAGGCCACAGGGCATGATCGCCATGACGAACGCGCAGTGTCTCGAATATATTTTTTGTGGGTATTCTTCGTCCTCATCGAGTAGAGTATCCCCTGACTATGTTTTATTCGAGCGAGTCACCTCAACATGGACGGTCGTAGATGACCTAGTAGTAGGGACCCGGTAGCCTAAGAATGCATCTTAAACCTTCACTGAGCTAAAGTAAATCACAACACGGGACCTGAATCTTGAGTGGTTAGGATCGGACGAGGAGGCGCTTACGACGATGTGAGCTAGACGCGAAAGGTTCGGCTCGAGGGTAACTTGTATTTCAACTCCAAACCCCTGGTGGCCTAATTGGATATGACGTCTGACCGCAATGGGAATATACCACTATTATCAGCAGATCGCTGGCTATTCCAGCTCGGGGGGAAGGTCCTTTCTTTGGCTCTATCCCTCGATGGTCTAATGGATGATATCATCTTGTCGTCTCAGAAGAGAACAAGCGCGGGAGACCTGGTGTTCGATTCCCAGTCGGGGAGAGTGTAGTTCTGCGCAATAGACGCATAACAGATTATAAACAAGACATGGAGGGGGAAGATAATGGCCAGAACACAAGGATGGTTTACAAACGGGAGAGATTTCAACGCTGTTGCAGGCGTTTTAGTTGTAATTCAAAGCCTTTCGTTCATTATCGTTCTTTTGTGTGTGATTCAGGCGTTCTGAGCTAGAATTCTGCTCCGCCAGTGAAGCACCTGCATAGCTAGACGTTCAATAGTTAGGCTCTAACAGGTTAATAAATATTGATTGACTGATTGGTAACTTCTAATTCCTTTCGAATCAAGCACATGCGTCACGCGTATGTCAGTGTTAGTCTTTCCCCGTTTTCAGTTTTTCTTCACAGAGCGAGGGGCAAGCAAGAAAGGCCTGTCGATCTCTTACAGTTTTGATAGCAATCCTAAAGCGGCAAGGATCAGGGGTGATATGCCAATGGAGTCAAGAACAATGGCCGCTATTATAAGATCTTTCGATGGATGGCTGCGTGCGTATAATTCACAGACAGACCTAGCAATGCAAAGGAGGCAAAATATCAGAATAAGAACCCAGCTTGCAGAACGGCGAAAACCGTGCCTCATACAGGCGATGGATATGATCACCAGGGAAGGGACATAGACGATAAGTTGCAGAATTGATATGCCATCTCTCCCGGTCAGATGCATTGTGTGGTAGTCGGCTTTCTTCGAATACAATTCAATGATGATGGAGCAGCAAGAAACAGAGATTTGATCAATGGCAAAATGCAGGATCCGTGGTTATATAGGACTTCCTTTTCTAAGCCTCTACTTCTGTCTACTGGACACTGCAAAGAAAGGCCTGTGCTAGACAGTACCAATTTTCCAGGGTGCTCTAATTAATTGTCACTTTTGGTAAGTGTCTCGCAGCTTAGCGTTCATCCCCTTAGTTAGACCCGCAAATTCTACCACTGATGCGTTCTAGATGTTCCTGGGAGCATGGAACCCACCAAGGCTTGATTGACTGAGCTTATTGTAATCCCAAGCAATGTGCAATAGGGCGCTACAACGCTATACTTAACGAGGTTGGTGACTCGAAAATTAGCGTGTATATGAAAGAGCTATTGACTATGGTTGGCTACGATGGCTAGGTGGGTCATCGGTACTTAGATCTACTCGGACATCGTCTGAGATTACTCTACTATGTGGCTACTGTGGTAGGGTATGAAACGACTGCTAGCCCTGTTATGCACAGCCACAAACCTTCAGTTAGATACTAATACGAACAAGCTCGTGGGTCGGCAGTGTGCACTGATTCCGGAGTATGTAAGCTCTGCAGCTGTTACACTGCATTTAACGACCTCGATTTTACGGACCCTGCCGCCTTCCTCCTTGAAAATTGTACAATCCTCAGGCCGGTCGCGTATATATAATATGTACAAGTAGCATTCAGAGGGGCTGGAACCGCCCATTTCATCCGCGGTGTGATTGGGTTCTTCCCTTGTACCATGCACTGGGTGGTTACCGCTGTCACACATCTAGCTACTTGTCTAGGCAGCATTTAATCCGGGCTGGAATTAAATTTGAGATGCTACGGTTTTGCTGTGTCTTTGATCGCTATAAATAACGAGTGTCTCATGGGGCGAGCGCATCGCCAGTATGTGGATGATAGTCAGATACTAAGACACTGAATACAGTTGAACGTAGAGGCGAACTGCTCGATCCGGCATTCGTAGGCAGCGAGTCATTATTTTAACATTGAGAATCCTCCGGGCATGAGTTGCCTGATAGAGAGCACTTCATCAGGTTTTTATTACATGAACAAAATGATCATGCTAGACATCACAACTGACGTGTTGCTGATTAGATAGTGGAGAGTGCTTCTAGGTAATTTTACGAGAGCGACATGGTGTTATAGAAGTAATGACTCGGTGCTTCACAATCCTACTCTACGTCTTGATCTTTATATTTAGTCCTGTAGCGTTCGACTATCCCTCTAGCGTAATCCTTCGTGCATTGCGCTGTCAAGAGCTGATTTGCTGAGTAGATTCTAGAGTAACATAGACGTATGACGTCATATCTCGTTGATACCCGCTCCATGGAGACCACACTGTTATTTTAAGCTCGTAACTAAGCAACATGACACGCTTGGAGAATATAATGGCGGGTTATCTCTGACATGACCATTGATCACCTTTTCCAGTCTGTCGTGGGGTGACTTGTTAGGGCTAGTTCAGGCACCCTGCCGTTTCCTTAGTTCTAAACAAAGACCTGTCCCTTCTCTTGTCCAACAAACTCAGAACATCTCTTCTGACCTGTCATTCTTGATACCTATTTATAGTCGTCGTATACTCTGTCGTGTGGTTTGGAATCTACAAAAGATAATTTCAAACCTCAACAGGCGAAATGGGTCTGACCGCCAGTTTACGTAGAAGGAAAAGAGGAGAGCTCCTTCAAAAGGAGATGGTATTATTAGCATCAGGCCCTACAGACAATATGCATGTTTTTCATGGGGTTGACCAAACATGGGGCGAGAACAGGCGATCTCGGCAGTGTCGGGGATTTTCAACCTTCGGTTACCTCGGATTCTGAGTCCTCCAGGCCAACCACAATCGTGGCTTCGCTCGCCGCTCTGAGACTTGCAGAGACTTAACGAATCACCGTCGTCCAGTGGTTGTGCCCCTAACATTGACCTGTATCCCATTTCTCAACAGCATAAAAACCCCCTCTGCCTCGACTTCAACCAACATCAAAAAGTAAGGTCCAGATTAGAATCGCAAGCATCAGCTCAATACCACTTCAATTTCAATATAACTCTTTATCATTGAGTCAATATCAACATGAAGGCCCCTTACTTTATCGCTTTTCTTGCCGCCGCCGTCTCGGCGCAGAACGCTTTCATCGGACTTCCCACGAAAGACCAGGAGATAACTGCAGGAGAAGATCTAGTTGTTCAGGTTCAGCGCCCGGTAAGCTCGGACCAACATCCCAGAGCTATAGCCGAGACTAACTACCGTATTAGAACTCCTTAACTGGCTCCGAGGAGATGGGTGTCGCAATTGGAGTGGCATCCTGCCCCTCAAGACCCTGTATGGCTCCGAAGGACTCACTGGGCACTCTCCTTTATAACGGGCCCTTCAAGCCCGACTACCACGATAGCTCGCCTCCTTATCAGAACTTCACCGTGACGATTCCGGACTCCATAGCCAAGGGAGACGCACAGATCAACGTCGCCCATGTGGCAATTGTCGGGGTAAGTGCTAACCTCCCGCGATCGCATCGATGAGATTAAGGAGCTGACTTGGTCGCTTTACAGGCGAGCGCGTGGCCATACTTGGACCTGCTCAATCAGACTGTTGTTGTTGCTTAGGTTTTGTGTGGAGGTTGTCTGCTTGTTCCCGCTTGTATAGGCTCTTCGCGGGACTGGCGAGTTGTATATTCATTCATTAATTTTATTTGGATTTAATTTCGTGGCTTTCATTTTGGGATTGTCGGTATTAGTTATTGTGATTTCGAAATTTGCGGAGAATCCTTTAGCTATAAGATCGCCTATTATTAATCTATTTGTTTTTCTCCTGGATTTCCAGGCACGTCGCCATGGGAAGTAGTGATAGGACTGGGTATTATTCATACGACCGCATGCTACCATTTATAGAGAGAAAATCCCGATATCGCCAAACCGGTGCTTGCAAAACAGTCTAGTGGAGAACAAACTGTCAGTCAGCTCAATCCCCACAATCCTTGAGTTTGATCGAGGTGTGAGACGAGTACCTTTTTTATGATCACTCCCTCTAGTTATGCTAAACCTACACTTTCTGAGTGGCAGTCTGTGCTGATTTGTCCGCCAGCGATCTCATTCGATACATTTTATGATTTCAAGAAGCTCATTGCTTTTGATTGACTCTTAGCATAGGCTACATAAGACCTAGTAAAAGACATTAGATTGTAGAATGAAACGGACGATAGTACAATTCAATCCATAGTGTGGACATATACGCAGTAGAGCAATATGCATCTCCTCATATCGACTTCTACTCGGTGACTTATTGACCAACTGATCTGTGCTCTGACACTCGATCGGCACTACTTGTATAGTTAAGCGAGGTATAACCTGGTTTTGACATGGGTTTATAGGCGACTGTACGTTATATATACTATTAGTAGTAAAGAAATATATCTCAAGCACAACATATATAGTACTGTTACAAAGGTCCGTGCCGATCGGACATCTAGTACTCATAACCCAGCGTTCTGAGTTATAAATCCATAAATTCTTCTATGACATGGAGTCCTAGATAGCACCAGGTGAACTTAGTAGTAGCTTAGTAAAGACAATAGCATGATGTTTAGTAGTAGCGTAGCACTGCAGGAGGGGCTTTCAATTAGGGACATTAAGTTAACAGGCGACTAGCTAATACCGGTAAAGTGGACTACACTGATGTCTCATCTGGCTGCTTCCAGGCATGCGATCGTCGAGGGGGTTGCTGCCCCACCAGGTGTTACGAACCAATTTGTCCGAGATAAAATAGTCTTCAAGGCCCCGAATAACACTTCCTTGCAGGACCTTTCCATCTCTGTCCCACGTTTGAGACAAACTTTGCAGACCAATATGACTGTTACAACGACTACTCGCCCTACCATCCTTGTCATTCACGGGGCATGGCATCATCCTGAATTTTATGCCCCGTTCTGCAAGGCGTTTAAAGACTTGGGCTACGAAGCAGTCTGTCCTCGCCTCCTAACCTGCAACAATGATGTACCCCCGACGAAGACGCTGGCAGATGATGTGGCGCTCATCCGTCAGACGGCACAGTCGCTCATTGACGATGGGAAGTCTGTTGTCGCGGTGATGCACTCCTATGGCGGGATTGTTGGCACTGATGCCCTACACGGACTGGCGATCAAACGTCTGATCTACATGACTGCTTTTATACCCCCTAGTGGCAACAGCCTCGCGGGTATGTTTGGCGGCCAATTGCCTCCTTTCATAACAATCGATGTATGCAGTCACTTACCTGGAGTTCCATGCA